AAAGCAAAATCAAGGGGAAATGGTGGGCATGCGATACAAACGTAGCAGGAGCCTGGACCTATCAAGGCAAACGGTCTGGCATGGCAAGCACTTTTACGCCTAGGCAATCCCTGTCCCAAGTGCTCGTGCCGATATGCCATGGAATACGCTCAACCTGACATGGAAGACTGTGCAAATGTCAACTCACACTGAAATTTGTCACTGGTCAATCTTTCTTTTGGCTTTGCACAGTTCCTCCATGATTGATTGTCTGTACCGTCTTCCGCTGATCTGGATTCAACTAGCGTGACTTGCGGATCCATGGCCCATTTCCTAAATTGATCCCTGAGCTTTGAACATCGTTTGGTCAAAGCATCAGCAAGTTGAAATTCCGTGGGCAACCCTCGGCAACATGATCTAAGATTCGCAACATCAATTTCTACCCGCTTCTCACTAAATGTCGTGCTCAGCCGGTGGATGGCGTCCCACAGCGATCTAGCGTCTGTAACTGGTGTGACTTGGAAAGGAGTTTGGCCGCTGGACGCCTTGTACTCTGCATCTACCATCTCACCAAAAACGCAAGACATGAATGTTCCAGTGTCGTGTGCACGATCAAGGCTGGCTGCTTCTGCCGCCAGGGTCGACCTCAAGGTTCTCTGATGCCTGTAGCTCTTCCACTCAAGCAGACTGGCTTTACAGGTCTCTGACAAGGCCTTTTTGCTTGAAGCGACGACTACCAAACCGCCCTGACTTTTATTACCAGGAGCATTGGCCCATCCAGCATCGCCGTATGCAATAAACATCAGATCACTCACAGGAATTGGCTGCACTCGAAAATGAGAATTTGCTGTTGCCCTGGTGTATTTGAGAACACGGTTGATTTCTTTCAAATCACCTACAAGCAAATCTTTTGGTGGTTTTTGAAGGAGGGAAACATCTGCTGACAGATCTCCTCGCGAGGTCCCGGCCAACCATTGCAGAGAACCAATGCCAGACCTGAATTCAGTGATGAGTTCAGGATGCTCGGACAGTTTGTCCTCAAGGTTGTGCTGGATCTTGGTCAATGACACTTCATTAACATAGTGTGCTTGATCCATCGTATAGGATCCATCTTCGTGTCTTTGGATTCGTCGGCCCACAAAAATGAAGTTGTCTTTTTCCCACTCAGATCCCCATGCAAAGGCACCTCGCAGAGCTTCCAAATGTTCCTCCGCCCCAGGGAGACAAGCAACGACGATGTCGTCGACATGCACGCCGAGCACGGCTATCACTTGACCATCTCGCTTTTGCAAAAAGCAGCAAGGGTCCAAAGTATGCTGAGCCCAGCCCAGTTCGGTCAGCACCCGGAGGACGTGAAGGTACCAGCGTCTTGGTGCATTTGCTTGTCCATAAACCGGAGCCGTCAACTGGTAATAGAGGTTGGTGTCCTCCCAATCTGGCACTGCAGCTCGCGCAATGTCATCCTGCGGAGGCTTCATGTATATGCAAACTGGGCGTTCTGTGTCAGGTTCTCCTTGTAAGAAGGCTGATTTGCAGTCACCGTTCCAGAGGCTGACGTTGAAGGTTGCTGCCCACTGGACAATAAGAACCAAGGTGGTTCGAGCCAGCACTGGTGCGTCTCTGCTGAGAAGCGGAAGGTGTGGGTCAGCAAATCCGGCCACCACAATTCGAGCTTTTGGCTTGAATCGCTTTCCGCCATCAATGGGCTTCCACCGGTAGCAGACGCGGCTCTTCAGGATCAGCTTCTCATCGACATCACCCTTCTTCATGTGCACTGGAGTACATGATGACCACTTCTCCCATTCGCTCCACTCATTTTGCATTGCTTCGACAAAGGCTGGTATATCCTCCGCCGGAATGGAGCGCCAAGGTGTCTCACGCTTCAGAGCCTGTTTGGCAGCTCTTCCCCCTCCATCTTCTGGAACATCTCCTTCTTCTCCACTGCTCACGTCAGGCCCCAAAATCACATTGTCGTAGGCTGACGTGTTGTGCACTGAAGGCGATTTCGGGCCACGCATTCGCGCAGACCATGTTGGGTTGCCTTCTTGCTTCTGAAGTTCAGCTTCTCGGAGAAGATCAGGGTCAGAGGTACTGGTAAGATCACTTGCAAGAGCTTGAGAGCAAGCATGTAGCACCTGAGCAAAACTGTCATACTGAAAGAAAGGTTGGAGCTCAGGTGGTGTGCCGTCCCAGCCTAACAAATAGTTGCAGTGTCTTCCAAAATTTCTGAACCAACGGCTTCTGCCAATTCGGCGAGGCCTCGACTTGCCGCATCTATTGATGTGTTGAATGTAGATGCGCTTGGTGTTGTCATACTCCTTGGGCAAATCTGAGTCATTTTCTTTGACAAAGATCTCTTCAGGCACTTGGTCATTCTTAGGGGCTGCATTATCTTCAAGGTCAAAGGTCTCGACAGCGGTGTCCGCATCGACATCAATGTTCTCAAAGATATGCTTCCACTGCCACTGACCTTTGATCTTGTGAGCGCTGCTCCAAAGGCTTGAAGAGTGCTGCTCGGGCAAGGTCTGATGAACTTGTCCGACTTCAAGAAGGTAGCTCTCATTCTGATGGAGCTCATCCAAGACATCGTTCAATGGAAGTTGCATAGCTGTCTCTTTCTGCCAAAACAAGGTCACCCTGTTGTTGGAGGAGGGCATAAGCTTCTCGCTCTTCAACCTCGTCAAACCATGCAGTCACTTGGAACGGATCATTGGTGCGAACCATTGCCATACAGCGAATGCATTTGATTTTGCCGTCTGAAAGCACTTGCCACTGGCTGCATCCGCAGTTGGCGCAGTAGTCAATGGTTGACGTTGTCAGCGCTTGGTTCAGACTCGTGGTCTGTTCGGCTGTCAACGGTTGTTCTGTCGTTGTGGTGTCTGTCGTACCTGGCTGATCTACCGCTTGTCGGTCTTGTTCTGCTGCGATGTCTGGATCAAGTGGTGCGCCTTCACGTTTTTGGCCCCGCATCTCACTGAGAGAATCAATTGAGGGCATTCGTCCTCTATTGATGTTGGGGCTATAGGTGGTGACCAGTTTTTCAACCTGGCCATGTGGAAGTGTGTCTTCCGGGCCGGTTTTCTTTCTCCAGGGCACTTGATCCTCTATCTTCTGCCAACGTCCATCCTGAAAAGTCCAGGATGTGCGGTACTTGTAGTCCTGAGCTACGAAATCGTCAGGCAAGGCTGCAAACTCGGTGGCGTTCTCGGCGACCACAGTTGGCCGACCATCGGGGTCTAAAAACCATGTCTGTCTGTTGCCCGCATCAAACCTAAGCCTCTTGGGAACTGGTGGTTCTGGCAATGGTGCCAGATGGTCTCCGACGCCTTCAGACTGTCGAGACGCTGGTGGTTCACGAAGGACAGGTTGGAGTTCCTTCTCTTCGGGCTCAGGTATTGAAGGTGATGGTGGTGGTGGAAGTGCTAATGGCACTGGCGGTTCAGGTGGATCACCTCGCACTTCACGACCAGCTGCATCAAGAATCAAGCAGTCATCTTCTAATCGTGGTGCTGGGCCTTCGTGTTGAAATGCTCTCGCATGCTTTTGAGAAAGATCTTGTTCTGCACTTCGGAGCATCTTGAGGTCTTCATTTGAAGGCGACCACAACTCTTCGCCCTCGACACCTCGCACTTGTTCTCGGGCAACTTGGACAATCCTGCCACGGTTGTTGCGTACCCAGACAGAGCCACTAGGGCCTGGGTCGAGGCCGATGATGAGCCCCTGTCTGTAGCCCTCGTTGGTGCCCTCGCCGTCCAGCTGATTGCGTTGACGGTAGTAGGCAATCTTCTGGCCGACTTCAAGGGGTCCTCGCCACGGACGCTGCTTTCTCAAAATGGCTCTTCTCAGTGCTTCGTTGTGCTCGTAGTCGAGATACTCTCGGAGAGCTGCATGTCGGATTTCTTCGATTCTGCGCAGCTTCTCAGAGTCCTCAATGACCTGCTTCGCCTCAATGGCATCATGCTCGGAGAGCAGTGAAGCTGGAATCTTGGGATTCCTTCCGAACACCCACTGTGACGGCGACGCTCCTGCTTTTCGAGCCAAGGAGTTCTTTGATTGACATGTCATGGCAGCCAACATTTCCATCTCAGGAACTGTCGTTGGAGCAAATTGGTTGACCAGTCTGGCCATAATCCACTTCGCTGCCTGTCCGTGTCTTTCTGCTTTGCCGAGTTGCCAATGGGCATCTGCGGGAACAAAACGAACTCTGATGCCAGCTTGTGCGCAAAGAATCTCAAATTGAAAACCCTTCATGGCGCCTTCTGCATCGAGTAGAAGCTCATCTGGAAAACCAAAAAAGCGAAACCAACCCTTCACCATCGAGGAAATCACTGCGTCTTCGCTTCTAGAGTCCACATGATCCAGAACATGATAGGTGGTTGCCTGATCAATTTGACTCAAAAACAAATGTGTGATGCCAGTGATGTCCTTGATGTGGATGATGTCAATCTGCAGTCTGTCGCCAAATCGCCTAGCTTGATAACTCTGCGTAGGTCTTGGTTGAAAGGGAGGCTTCGTCCTCTTGCAAATGTTGCATACAAGGTGCTTTGCGCCATGAAGTGCTGGGCCGGAAGCTCCTGCTGCCGCCAGATGGCGGATCAATGCCTCTCGTCCTGGATGTCCCAGGTTGATGTGAAGTCTCCGCAAAACGCTCTTCATCCATTGTGGCACTGCATTGGGTGGTAATTCAGGAAAAGTGATATCTTGAGCACCTGGTTGTGTGGGATGCCAAATCTCTTCCGGGTTCAAGGTCTGTGCTGGCCCGGACTTGGTGGCGGATGATGACGGTGCCTCAGGGACACCATTGGCCTCAGGGTCCAAGGTCGTAGCTGGAGCCCGGCCGTAAAGAAAAATTGCATGCGTCACAGGGCTATCAAAGCGAGCCCCTGGCGCTGAAGAAATTGAAGCAGTCGCCTCAGTCTCAAACCTGATCTGACCATTGGAAAACAGGAGGACAGCTCCTCGGTGTGTGACCTCCTCAGCCATCAACAGGTTGTAGGGCAAACGCCTGACTTTGGGGTTTCTGGTGATCTGCACTAGTGCAAGCTCCCATGGGACAAGTTGCTTGATCTGCTCATAATATGCCGTGTCTTTCTTCACAGTTGCAGCTGCTTGAACTTTGTCCTTCAAGCGCTCCTCCGCTTCCTTCAACAAGGGCCGCCAAGACTCCTCGTCGCGGACAAGGTCAAGGTACCAGCACGTCGCAAGTGGGCATGCCGGTGTTGTTGTTGCGGTCCAACTGGAAAAATCAGGCATATTGTTCTCGGTGGTATAGTTACCTGTGATCCATGTTATTGGGGTGTCTGCCAGATGTCCTCGGCAAAAGCGTTCATCTCCGCAGTGATGTAGTGCTTCACACATCCCATCAAGCACGGCTTTGGCCAGCTTGCGAGTATAGATTTGACCCCTCTTGGCGTTTGAACCCAAACATTCTTCGTGCTTGTGGTTGCCAAGGCAGGGTAAGGCGATGTGAGTCAGCACCTCTGGCAAATCGGAGCACCATCCTGTCTCTTTCTTCAGCAAGTGTCCATCTGTGCCCCGCAGATCAAAACGACACATTGCTCCCTTGCGAAGTTCCACCTGATGGAGTGCAAGAAGAGATTGAATCTCAGGCTGCTTCCAAAAGTCGTTGCCCCACGGGTTCTCAAGCAAGAAGTGACAGCCATCAGCATGCATCTCTCGAATGGTCTTACACATCTCTTCCAGCTCAAGCTTGTGGGCTGCACGAAGTTCATCCAGCTGTTGTGGAGTGTAATTCAAGTGCTGGATGCGTGACCAAGGGTCACATCGAATTTCCCAAAGCGTCATAAAAGGACGCCGAGCTTTCAAAAGGCTTCTCAGCTGCTCATGATCTGCACGTGTCTCCAGGCTAATGCCGTGCACCTTGTCAACTGGTTGTAGGACTCGCAGACCTCTTCGTTGCCATAGCCTGCGTAGATTTCCACAAGGTCGCACTTATACTCCTGCCTGAAGCTCATAGATTGCCTGGCTTGCGTAGCAGAGACTGCTCGCTCCATTTTCAGGCTGTCGCTCAAGGCCCTCACATTTTCCAAGCAATCTCTTCTGAGTACCTTGCCGCAGCTGAAAAGCGCCTCGATCTTCTTGAAGTAGCGGATCATCTGCAGAGCCGCACAGGGAAGGCATTGGGCTCAAAGAATGCGAGGTTGCGCTCGCCTTGCTTGTTGTTCGGCTTGTTGTGCCTCCAATCTCTTGTTCTCCTGCTCCAAAATCATTTCCAGCTCCTCTTGAGTGGGCTCTTGTTGCTGTGCCCACTCGTAGCCCCCGTAGCCTGGTCTCTCCTCTGGATCTGTCATGTGATCGTAAGGAGGATTGTGGCTCGTCCAATCGTCCCAGCTTTCCTCCTCCCAGTCCATCGCATGGTGTTCCGGCTGTCGGGGCCCACTCATGTTGTTCATCTTTGGCTGATGAGAGGCCGCTGAGCCAGTCCTGGAAGGAGTCCTGGTTGGCATTGGTGGGTGCCGTGGAGTTGGAGACTTCGGGAAGGCCTGCCCTTGTTGCAATGGCAAGCGCTGCGGTGAGGCCCGTAGCAAGCCAGCTGAAGATGCGGCTGTGTCTTCCTTTTTCTTGGCCTTGATCCCCAGGGGAGTCTTGGCTGTTGGTGTGGCTTTCGGAGGCAGAGGCTGAAGATCTCCTTGTTGGTCTTTGATCCACCTTGCCCCGCATTGGTCGCAGATCGAAATCGAGTGACCTGCTGCTCCGTAGCGACGTATGCCATTTTCGTGCTGGCACGTCCAAGGCTTCTCTGGGTACTTGGCCACCTGTGTCACTGATTGAAGCTGCAATGCCGATGAGGTTGCCAGCATCGTGGTGGCCGTCTGTCTTGGCCACCAAATCTTCAGGACCCTGTCCTTGAGGGCAGGTCTCATACTCACTGCCGCATACATCAAAACTGCCTGGGAGACTATGTAGATGTACTCCGAGATCTGCTCGGTGAGATGCCTCCAATTCCTCAGCCATCCTGGTGCTGAAGATGGAAGCCCCGGCATGTGGAGGTGGTCTCGCGGGCTCTTTAGAGTTCTGCAGCGTCTGCTTCTTGAGAGGAAGTTGCCCGGGAATCCAAGCATCAGGAAGAATGTTGCTGTCGTGCAAGACAGGCCATTCAAATGACTCATGCGACCACTCATCAATGCGGATTGCCAAATGTCCGCACTTCGACAAAAAAAGTTTGGATTTTGCATCTGGTCCTAATGCTTTGTAATGCATGACTCCTTGAACTATGTCTGGTACTGCGCCTAAAATCTCAAATGATGGTCTCGAAAAAAGTGCAGGTGCATTTTCATCAACTTCACTGATTCCCAAAACTACCATCCGGCCTGCAATGCCAGAGGGATAGGCGAGCCGCTGCTTGCTCGGCACACCTGCATTCGGACCAAATGAGAAATGACAATGCTCTGTGTAGGGGATCACCTCCAAGGGGGAAATCTCACGCTGACGTTCGGAATGCCATCTACTACCTGCAACTTGCCTTTGACATCCTGTATCAGCTATCATGAGTGCTGCATCTGTGTGGGCATACTGGATAAGGACTTTGGGGTTCATGAGGATACCCTGGGAATACACCGGCACATGGTCGTGGTCGTGGTCATGGTCATGGTCATGTGTGGTTTCGACATGTGTGTGGCTCAGATAAGGAAGCTGAATGGTGTCTTTTCCAACGTCAATGGCAAGCTCTGTTGCGGAGGTCATCCATTGAGAAAACTCCTCCACATTGCCAGCTGGATCAAGGGTCATTCCAGCTGTCACCATTTGAGCACTATGCCGCTGAACACTGGGACAATCTCTGAGCCAATGGCCTGCTGATCCACAGCCTAGACAAAGAGCATCTCGGATGCGCTTCTGCTGCAGATCAAAGTTGGCCTGAGTCGGCATAGGACTAGGCTTTCCCACACCAGACCCTTTGTTCTTGCCATGCCCCTTGCCGGAGTTCTTTGACTTACTGCCATCCTTGCTTTTGCCTTTACCTTTGCCCTTCGACTTGCCCTTGCTAGGATTGATGCCCTTGTCACCGGCTTTGAAAAAACCTCGGGCCTTCGTCAAATCGGCAAGCCTCTTACTGGTCACGGTCAAGGCTTGCAGACTTTCCAAAGATCACTGTCCTGTTGGTCTCCCTCGTGCTCTTCGACCACTGCGGAACCGGCTTCTGGTTCCTCATCGTGATACTCCACATCATCGTACTCATTCTGGATCACGGCCTCATCGTCGTGCGCCTCGTTGGATTCAGGGTCATAGGTCTCTTCATCCTCGCCAGCACCATCGTGCCAGTCGGTGTGCCAGCTGCGCTTGGACCGTTGCTTCTGATTCACCTTTCGACCAGAGGCTGCAGCAGCTCGTAGAGGAAGACCCGTGACGCTCATGCCTGCCGGGTAGTGCAACCGGATGGCATCCAGAATGGGCTTCATCTCGTAACGATTGCCTGCCGCTAAAAGCAGGGAAGAAGTGCTTCTCTCATCGAGGCGCAAGCCGTCAAGGAGCTTGATGACTCGAGCCTGCTCCGGGTAAGTAGGCACCCGGCTGTCCTGGAGCTTTCCCTCCAGTAGTCTGAAGCGACGAACAAAAGCAGCGATGCTCTCTCCTTGAAGCCGCCCCATCGCCTCGAATTCTCTGATAGCACCCCCTTGCCTGAAAATCTCCTTCTCGCCGAAAGACTCAGAGAGGTCTTGTAGTAGGCGATCTATGCCATCTGCGTGATCAAAGCGACTGTCGTCAACCTCTTCAAATTCAAGTTCTGCTTCACCTCTCAATTGTTCTCGTGCTCTGAGTGCTTGTTCGTTTGGTGGTAAGAATTCCTTGGTAATCCGTACCCACCTCAGCAAACGCTTCTTGTAATGTCTGAGGCAGTATGGGTCTTGGTCGATGTCACCTTCAAACACTGGTGCTGGGGGTATCTGCCCCGAGCGCCACTTGGGTTGATTGGCACGAGATGATGCGCTGGAATTCCCAGCTTGTCTTCCACCTCGTCCTCGTGACCCCCTTGATCTATGGGACCCTATACTAGCATTGCTGCCCCTACGAGATGGTTCACCAGCTGCCGCGGGCTCACTCACAACTTCGGTGGCAGGTCGCTCACTCACTGGTGGCTCATCAGAAAAAGGGTCAAAAGGATTTGGTTCCACAAAACTTTCAGAGGCGCCGGATTCGGCTGCGCTATCTGATGCAGATGGCATGGACAATGGCACATCATCATCAAAATACACATCTGCCATGGTGCGCCAAACCAAGCCTTGCCAGGGATGTCGCTACCAATGCGATACAAACGTAGCAGGAGCCTGGACCTATCAAGGCAAACGGTCTGGCATGGCAAGCACTTTTACGCCTAGGCAATCCCTGTCCCAAGTGCTCGTGCCGATATGCCATGGAATCCGCTCAACCTGACATGGAAGACTGTGCAAATGTCAACTCACACTGAAATTTGTCAGGGCAAAATGAGTGGAAAGTTTTCTGCGCAAAACAATGACATGGGCAAATTATATAATACTCGGCACAATCATAGGAAGAACAAATGATAGGGCAAACAATGAGGGGTATGGTGTTGAAGCATTTGTTTGAGATCATAAACCCCCTAAGATTTCTTGGATCTTTCTGGCTCCCCCCATGCAGGAAAATCCGTGCCCGATGGACCGCTTCCGTCGCCGCAGCCGCCACGCCGCGATGTGGCCAGTTGAACATGCCGGCCTTGCGCCAAACAACTTGGCGCACCAGTTGCAGAGTCCCGAAGAGGGAACTAGAGCCGAAGGGCTCAATTCCAGAAATGGCCTGCAGCCTCAAGCTCAACCAAGACAGCCATGCGGCTCCAGTCTTGGACTCTTGTGGGGTGCAATTACATGCACAAAGAGAATGTGTTCTGAATGCCTCAACAAGGCCATCACTAGGTTGAGTCACGTTGTCAGGCTTCATTCATCAAATATTTGGCTTTCCAGTCAATCTTATCCCATCGCTACACCAATTCTGGCATGTAAGCCTGCCAGGCAACAAATATTCCAAACAACATCGCCTCCCATCCCTTTAGGTCGCCGATCAGAAGCTGCTTCACTTCTTCGGTCTCATAACAGTGTACCAGCCACTGCCGCCTCAGGCCGCAGTGGCCATGACACACCGAGAAGCAAATCCCAGTGCAGCGGCGCAGTTGCGCGCAAGCTATTCACAGATTCTTGGAGTGTTTCGAAAGGCCCAGGCTATCGGGCCAAGTCTGGCGAACTCAGAAAAGTTGGAAACTGTTGGAAAGGTGTCCAGGCCCTGGAAGGTGGTCTCATAGCAAACCGAATCAATAGACTTCTTGATTCATGAGTTGGTCCTTCCGCCAGTGCATTGGTTGCGAATGACTTGATTTGCACGATGATGTGCACATACATCTGTATAAATGCACGTGTACCTGTACATGTGCATATCATTGCATCTACGCATCGTTGTCCATGGTTTCTCAAGGTTTTTAGTGCCCAAGCCCCGCGAAAAGGGCAGAACCTTTGGTTCCCCCTGCAGGGAAAGTCCGATGGCCGGATATGGCCAGATATGGCCAGCTTAGTCTCTCACGGTGTGTTTTTGGAGAGGCGTTTCGTGCATCGCTGCATCGCTCCCTCGTTGTTTCTATTCCCCGCGGCCGCTGCCTGGTTCTGGCTGGTCCCATGTCTCAGGAAACATTCGTGTGAACCTGAGCCACTGGAGCGAGGCAGAGCGAGGGCCAAAAAAATGTGCATAGCATGCATAAGATATACATCCCACCGGGGGGAAAACCGCGCCAGCGTTTTGAGGGTTTTAAAAAAATGTCGTTTTCGCCATAGCGAAACTACTGATTCATGCCCCAAAATTGGCTCAAAATTCCCCGAGATTTTGAAGTGTGTTTTAAACGATAACCTGTAAATTACAGGGAATTTGTTCCTGAAAACTCGCCGGGTCTTTTTTTTCCAACTCACATTGCTACACGGCCTTTCACGGCTCGACCTGTGACCTCCATAAGACTTTTCGTCTTGGAGTTCATCCAACACCAGTCCAGTGACGTAACATAAGATGTGCATGTGACGCAAGTTAACATGAACGTTAACATCCCCCACCCCCCCAACCCAGTGACGTAACGTAAGATGTGCATGTGACGCGAGTTAACATGAATGTTAACATCCCCCACCCTCCCCAACCCAGTGACGTAACGTAAGATGTGCATGTGACGCAAGTTCACATGAACGTTAACATGCCCCACCCCCCAACCCAGTGACGTAACGTAAGATGTGCATGTGACGCAAGTTAACATGAACGTTAACATCCCCCACCCCCCAACCCAGTGACGTAACGTAAGATGTGCAGTGTTAACTTAACGTTACCCACCCTCCCAACAGTGACCGTAACATGACCGTTAACATGAACGTTAACATGCCCATGTGACGCAAGTTAACATGAACGTTAACATCCCCACCCCCTCCAACCCAGTGACGTAACGTAAGATGTGCATGTGACGCAAGTTAACATGAATGTTAACATCCCCACCCCCCCAACCCAGTGACGTAACGTAGATGTGCATGTGACGCAAGTTAACATGAACGTTAACATCCCCACCCCCCCAACCCAGTGACGTAACGTAAGATGTGCATGTGACGCAAGTTAACATGAATGTTAACATCCCCACCCCCCCAACCCAGTGACGTAACGTAGATGTGCATGTGACGCAAGTTAACATGAACGTTAACATCCCCACCCCCCAACCCAGTGACGTAACGTAAGATGTGCATGTGACGCAAGTTAACATGAACGTTAACATGCCCCCCCCCCCAACCAGTGACGTAACGTAAGATGTGCATGTGACGCAAGTTCACATGAACGTAACATCCCCCACCCTCCCAACCCAGTGACGTAACCTAAGATGTGCATGTGACGCAAGTTCACATGAATGTTAACATGCCCCACCCCCCAACCCAGTGACGTAACGTAAGATGTGCATGTGACGCAAGTTCACATGAACGTTAACATTCCCCACTCCCCCAACTCAGTGACGTAAGGTAAGATGTGCATGTGACGCAAGTTAACATGAACGTTAACATCCCCCACTCCCCCAACCCAGTGACGTAACGTAAGATGTGCATGCTACGGATAAAATCTGTGTGGTTTCAAAAACGGTCAAAACGCTGGCGCGGTTTTCCCCCCGCTGGCATATACATGAATTATACAAGTTTGCCCGTTCATGCAAATCTACAATTTATACATATCTATACGATGTATGAGTACATATATATATATATATATTACATACACTGCAAAATATAAAGACTGAGAGGGGTAGAGAGAACAGAGAGACAGAGAGACCGACAGGCAGAAAGACAGAAAGACACAAAGACAGAAAGACCAAGACAGCCAGACATAAAAACAGAAAAATACAAAAACAGCAAGACACAAAGACAGAAAGACACAAAGACAGCAAGACAGAAAGACATAAAGACATAGACACATAAAGACAAACAGAGAGAGAGGGAGAGAGAGAGAGAGAGAGCTATCCAACATTACACACAAATATCACATATAGTGTAGGCTGTTCCAGCCTGTGATGACAAAATCTAATACAGCAGCCCGAAGGACCCTTTCCAATACCAGAAAGTGTCTTCCAAATCTTCCAAACAATTCTTGGGTTCCAGGTTTGGGATTTTTTTGTAGCATTATTCATCAAATCCTGCTTGCTTCCCGTGACCGTTGGAGTTCGGCTGTTACGGTACCTGCACTGCTCTGCGCTGCTACGATATTTCGGATCCAGGGCCACCACTGCAGGTAGTTGATCCAACCTGACATCTGCAGCTGACACACTTTACCTGTAAGATCCTGTAGGACTGTAGGAACCATGATCATCACAATGCCACAATAGCCAACATCATGATTCTTATTGTATTGGACGTAATGGTCATTCACAACAATCATAGCAGCCATCAAATATCATGTTCTCTGTAGAGTATCCTAGCTCAGCCACGACAAAAATCACGCACCTAAAACATGCGAAACACCACACCCAGTAGCCGATCTTGTCCACATCCAGCGCGAAGAACAGCTGATCTGATGCTCGTGCCGAGACGCCAAGCCTCCGCAGTGGTAGTGGGGTATACCCTCCCTTCATGAATTTATGGCAATGGGAAATCCCCTGCAAATGCGGATTTAATGGGAAAGGTACCGGTATTACTGATCATGCTTGCTTGCTTGCTTCTCCCACTTTTCAGGCATAGTACGCAAGTATCCCACTCGAACAAAGATCTTGGGCATCAGTCCCAAGCCAATTGCCAACATATGCAACATCAAAATCACGGGCAAATGGATGTTCACCCCCTCATTTTCTTGCTTTGATCCATCCCAAAAAAAATTCTCCATCAGTTGTTTCCCCAGGCCAAGGGTCCGGGCCTTTTGGCAAAGTTTCGCATTTCCTGACAGCTGACCTTGCCGTCCTTGTTCGTAATCCAAGATGCGGTAAGCCTCCCAAAAGAAGGGCTGGAAGCGGAGAAAACCGAAGAAATCGGCATCTGGGACTGGACCCCACAGACCTACCCACAGGACACAAGTTTGGGCCCTGCGCTGCACCTCCTGCAGGTTCCTGCACTTTGTCATCAAAAAGGCCCTTGGAGATGGGTGGGTTCAGCAAAGGGAAAACGCCAACTCAGATTGAAAACACAAGGCCGCAATTTGCACACACTTGGTTTTATACATACACTGGGAGAGAAGGAAGGAAGGAAGGAAGGAAGGAAAGAAAGAGAGAGAGAGAGATATATATATATATATAGATATAGATATAGATAGATAGATAGATGGATGGATAGATGGATGGATAGATGGATGGATGGATGGGTGGATGGATGGGTGGATAGATTTTGATGGACAGATTTGTTTGGTTCATTCGGATTTTCAGCATCCATCTGGTGAAACCCAGTTCCGTGCTGTGACCCAAGTGCCCCAAGTGCTCAAAGTGCGAACGTCCAAGGCTGCAGCTTGAAGGCCTCAATCGTCCCATCCACCTTTCAGAGGCAGGATGGTTCAACCATCTTGGGGGCACATGAAGATGAACATTGTTATGAGGAATTTCATGAGGTGGCTAGTAGCGGCTAGTAGCGGAATAATACTGTGGAATGTTATGGTTCAGTATTGTTACTGTGGAATTTCATTGTTATGAGGTGGCTAGCCCGGAGCTATTTGTCCGCCGTGACATGACATGACGCATCTCCATGCTAACTGCCAGGTCGAAACCCAATGTTTCCAACATGTTGGCTCCGCCGGGGGGGTTTGCCCGGCTTGGAACAAGGTCGACTGTGACTACATGTGATGAGTATCCGCAGCCGTTTGTTGTTCTTGTAGTCATGGTGTTGATTTTACTGTGTTTTTTCATATAAAATGTGGTTGTTCACAAGTAGACTTCATATCATGTTTTCAGATGCAATTGATCATTGAATGTTTTGACAATGTCCAAACTTGAGTTTTTTTCGCCAAATCTGGCGGAAAAATCAACAATCACCTGTAATTTACAGCGTTTCCATTTGACACGATGTGCATACATATATAGACAGACATGAAGTATACATACATATATATAATATATATCTATCTATCACATACACCAGAAGTAAACAGAAAAAGTCAGACAGAAAGGAGACACATGGCAAGAAGAAATACATTGAACCCAATCAAGATGAGGAAACGATGGACAATCAAACATGACACTGCGATTGCGTGATACGTTTGCACATGACACACCAGCAGCGTACCATGTGCACACATGAACACACCAGCAGCGTACCATGTGTACACATGAACACACCAGCAGCGCACCATGTGTACACATGAACACACCAGCAGCGTACCATGTGTACACATCAACACACCAGCAGCGTACCATGTGTACACATCAACACACCAGCAGCGTACCATGTGTACACATGAACACCAACGTTGACACACCCCACCCCACCCCACGTACCATGTGTACACATCAACACACCAGCAGCGTACCATGTGTACACATGAACACCAACGTTGACACACCCCACCACACTCCCACTACCATGTGTGTGACAATCAAACACACCCAGACAGCCTCACCATGTGTACACATGAACACCAAGTTTGAACACACCCCACCCACCCCAAGTACCATGTGTACACATCAACGCACCAGCAGCGTACCATGTGTACACATGAACACCAACGTTGACACACCCCACCCCACCCCACGTACCATGTGTACACATCAACACCAACGTTGACACACCCCACCCCACCCCACGTACCATGTGTACACATCAACACACCAGCAGCGTACCATGTGTACACATGAACACACCAGCAGGGCACCATGTGTACACATCAACACACCAGCAGCGTACCATGCGTACACATCAACACACCAGCAGCGTACCATGTGTACACATCAACACCAACGTTGACAAACCCCACCCCACCCCACCCCACCCCAACCCCACCCCCACGTAACAGTGTACACAGCACCCACCAGCAGCGTACCATGTGTAACATGAACACCAAACGTTGGACAAACCCCACCCCACCCCACCCCACATGTTAAAATTCCGGGCAAACCCCCCCGGTAGACCCAACATGTTGTCCAAACTTTGGTCCAAAATTCCCAAACCATATCGTAGATAATTGGTGAGATATATATATACATAACATAACATAACATTACATTACATAACATAACATAACATAACATTATATTACATTACATTACATTACATACATGTATATATATATATACATACCAAAAAAAAAATATACCCAAAATGTGTAAAATGACCAACAGATATATGGACATCTCGTAAGTTTCTTCCCCAGTTCGCCTCTCGACTGGCGAGAGGATCCTCCAACGCAATGATGGGCGCCTGTGTCAGCTGCCGAAAGTCCCGCCTTAGAGGCGGAAGCCGGACTCTTTTCATGCAAATTTCATAGGGATTACCAGCAAAAATTGTGATTTAATGATGATTTAATGGTGATTTAATGGGATTTCATGGGATTTGTTGGAGGTTTCCGAAGTCTTGGGTACCCTCCATCCAGTGGATGAGCATGTTAGTAAGGAAAGCTACGGTTTTGGGGATCCATCATTTTCTGTCCGCACCGAGAATTTGGTAGAAAATGCCATCAAAATGTCACAGCATTTTTGACCAGCCAGGTTGGGGCACCAGTTCTGACTTCCCAAATCTGAAGATGTCTCACTCCAAGGAAAAACCATCCTGGGGCGTCCAAAGTCTCTGCGCGGCTTTCCGCCGCTGGGTGTCACCGGCCCCAGAACTGATTCGAAGTGAGACATGAACACGGCGTACTCCACCTCACCAGCCTTGTCCTGGCGCTTCGGAAACAATGGTTTGGTGCAGCCTTTCCAGGTGGAAACTCATAATGACTCAATGGATTTAAAAAAGCGCAACACACACACAAAGAGATATATATATAATGTATATAAATGTATATAATATATTATTTTTATTTAAAAAACATGTTAACGTCGACATAAATCAAATCACTTGAAACAAATCTCTCAACTGGGAAGCAGGGGTGATTTCAGCTGTGGTTGTGGCCTGCAGAAGGTCAAAGACACGATCTGCCACATCCTGTTTCAGCGTCAACATGGCCAGTCAACTGGAGGTATCAAGAATGGAACCACCAGGCAAAGCCAGCAGAAAAAATGCCGACTACAATGGTAACACCAAGAATCTACGGCCCTTCTTGCCCATCCTGAAAAGTTCCAATGATTCTCGTCAAATCTCTCCATACCAGCCCAAGGTCACTGCAGAACGACATGGTCGTCCAAGACGTCGGCCTTGGGGTGCCCAAAGCCACGGAAGAAGCTGCGCATCTCTTCGCGATTGATCTTTCCTAACCTGGCTCCAAGTTGGCTTTCGGTGGGGGCCAAGAAACCCGGAATCCGTGCACAAAATGAGAAGGGGACCAAAAAAAAATGAACCAAAAACAAAATGAACCAAAACATACCAAAACCACCAGGGAAAGCCACCCAGAAGCGCCTTGCCCTGATTTCTTCACCCTGTTTTGGAGACCCCTGCACCCCTGAGGCCTTTGGAGATTCAAGGGCCTGAAGGCATCCCGCACATGTTTGAACTTCAGCTTTAGCTTGTCTCCAATGTCCTCGTTGCTGGCCCACAAATCCCACAGCAATGTGCTACTAGGAAGGCTTACAGGGAGACAGTGTCACTGCGGTCAACTAAATTTCTGATCTTGCTTGTGACATCTTGTGACCAAAGACTGCTTGGAGGATAGCGGATTTGGGCCTCTCGCACCTGGTGTGACTAGATTCCCTGCAACATCACCTCACCTACGCGGGGTCCCCGAGTACAACCCCACCACCCTGGTCCACGCTGCGCAGGTTGGACGTGCTTGGTCCATTCCTTGCTGACCGCCTCGGCTCGGGTCATGAAGCCCACAAGGTTGGAGGGGCAGAGGTCAGAAATGTGTATACAACCCACTGATGAATCTTATGAGCTCTGGCCACTCCGTTGGGCAAGTCAAGCAACCCTGAGGCGCTCCTCGTAAAACAGCCAAAATCTCAGTTTCTCCATATTTCTCCGCTCGGAAAGCGCAACATGTTGGTGACCGTGCTTGGCAACGATCGCTCCGTGAGACAACAAAATAACTTGATCTGCTTGTGGTTGACCCAGGCCAGTGGCAGGAATTCTTTCTAAGTCTTTCTAGGCCATGCTGTAGCCAAAAAGTTCAAAGTCCTGCCTGTATGTCTCATAGATCCAGCTTTTCATCTCTTCAGTCAGCGTAATCTTGCAGGGTATTGCATAATAGTGTTTGTGTAGACCCTCATTCCCATCTTCCAAGCGGATGGCAAGCCGGTAAGCTTTCATGATAGCATTGAATTCGCTGGTGAGATTCTCAAAACGGAGTACGTGATTGCAATGAAGGCGCTGCAGGTCATTCGAAAACACGTACTTCACTTGCGGTAGCAAATGGCAATCGTCTGCAAAATTCAAGCGGCCCCCGCGCTTCACTTCTTCGAAATAGTTTTCCAGAGCAGCAGGGGAGCAAATAAGATTTTTGTGTCTCTTGTTCTTAGATCCCTTACTCCACCTCAGAATGTGCCACTTGTACTCACTGATGAAGCGCCCCAAGGGATTTCGAATGATGCAAAACGTTTTGCAACGGGCATAGCGCTCTGCAAGCACCGAATCTTCAGCAGGGGGGAAGTGCCAAATGCTGCATCTATCTTTCGACTGCTTTGGCCGGCAGCAGGGCCTGGTGAATCCATAGTTCGTACACTTCTCCCCACGGAGACATTTCAACGTATGGTCATCAACACTCCAGCCATATTTATATTTTTCAGCCTCCTCGTAAACCGTGCTGCCCGCATTCTTTGGAATATGGATAAACTTCAAACACTCCTGCGACACTTTCGATGGCAAATTCAATCCTGCTTGCAGTAGCTGAGGGGGTTGCCGCTTCTGTTCAGACCACTCCAGAAAACTCGGTGCGGCCTCCCCAACGCTGGGAGGGGTCTGAGGAATGCTTGGAGAGGTCTCCAAAAAACTGGGTGACGCCAAAAAGCTGGAAGAGGTGTCAAGAATCGTGTGAGTGGCATTGGCACCGCTCACCTGTGCCACCACTATCTCACTGGCCCGGGGTGACAGCGCAAAGGAGTATTCCAGCACTGCTGCACCAAGAAATCCCAGCAGAACGGCCCACCTCACAACCTTCCCACACTCCATGGCGGCAAGTGTTGGTTCCTATAGGATTTTCAGGGAATGCATCCACTGTTGGCGAAGCAACCAGCTTTGAAAATGAGAGTTGTTGATTCAAGTCTTAGTTTGTCCATTCGGGAGGAACGACACAACAATGAAATCAGGATGTCCCACAACTGTATCCCAAAATCTTTTGTTCACACTATCCAAATGCAAGATGTACCAATTTGACTATATGGGCATGGATCAAAAATCAGCACCCCAACAATGGATGACTTTGATAAGGACCATGCAAAATCATTGTCAGTCTCAGCGTCTTAAGTCTTGTTCCATATGGCCCATGTGCCTATCCCTTCTCAGTGTCATGCAGCGAAACCACTGATAACTGCAACAGGCTGTTGGTTGCAACCAGCGCTCCTTGTGAGCCTGATCTGGTGTTTTTTCCCCTCGGTGGCATGCACAAACAATCGGACGTTGTCCTCACATGTTGTGCCATGATCACGACATGTTTGAAGTCTGTTGTCCCATGTTGTCCCCACATCTGAACAGATGTGCTGATAGCTTTAGCATCCTCTATTTTGGTCATCGCTTGGTGAGTTTCTGCAGACCAGTTACCCTGGAAGTCAGTGGCTCAGGGGGTCCTGGGCCGAGCATCGAAGCACCGAAATTGGATCATCCAGTTGAATCACTTTGATTCACCAACCTTAGTAACTCAGCTATACTCAGTTCATGGAGGATCATTTTGGGGTTTCCCCTCACAAGTCCTATCAGTTGATGCCCCTTCCGAATGGTTTCGGACTCCAAGAGTTGTTCCACGTCCGAGCGACTCAGGCGTGTCAGGTTTCAGGATGAAGTCCTAGAGCCCCAGCTGCAAAATATGGGTTCTGTCACCCGTGAAATAGGTATAATGTGGGTAAAACAATGTCATAAACCACCAATTGTGGAATGGTTTCATTTATACCACCTATAAAAATGGGTTGCATGTTTTCTTTGGATGTGTTTCCCGTTTTTTTTGGGATTTTTCCCCGTTTTTTGGGTTTGATGGTTTTCATTGGTATTTGCAGCGTTTTGCAGCTAAGCTCTCTGATTTGCATGGTGTTTGTTACATTTGGAGTTTGGATCCCCCAGGCGCGTGATATTTTGAATACCAGGGATGATGAAAATGGTCACGAGATGAGCTAGAAGTTCAATGGAAAAAATAGATACAGATAGGTTATGAAAACATACAAAATAAGATCGGGGGCGGAATTAAGTTGGCAATTTTTTTTGGTCGTCCAGGTTCCCTTCCTTGGTTTTTGCAGCTAAAATTTCTCAATTGCTGCATTTTGTGTTAAAATCTCTCATTCGCACTGTTCATCAATTGTTCCACTGGTTTCAGAATTTGTTCCATGGTTTTTATCGAGTTTTCCATAATTTTCACTGATTTGCCCATGATGTTCATAGATTTTTTCCATGGTTTTCTTCAATTGTTCTATGGTTTTGTTTGATTGTTCCATGGTGTTCTTCCATTTTCAATGGTTTTCTTCAATTTTTCCATTTTTTTTTTCATTCAGTTTTCACTTGTTTTCATTGATTGTTCCAGAGTGTTCATTGATTTTTACATGGTTTTCATTGTTTTTTTCCAAAGTTTTCATTGATTTTTGGAAGTACACGCTGTGCAAACTATAAATTGAAGATGTATAGAAGTATACATGCATGACTAATCATGACTATGTAGATCAGTGCATTTACAAGTGTATTTAATATATATATATACATATATATATATATATGCAGGGTTTGATTTAGGGTTTATTTAGGGTTGGTTTATGGTTTCGTCTAGATTTGTTTACGGTCTATTTAGGGTTGGTTTAAGGTTTCTTTAGGGTTGGTTTAGTGTCTGTTCAGGGTTTGTTTAGGGTCGGATTCGGGGTTATTTAGGGATACAACATGTACATACAAACAACTATGATTAATGTGCATGCGTATCCATGCACATGATTATTTATAAATTATTTTGGGATGAAAGCTGTGTATATAAACAATCATAATATATATTACATGTATATAAATATATATATATGTATTTGTGTGTGTGTATGTATATATAAGTATACATATATCTATATATATAAATATATATATGTGTGTGTGTGCGTGTACATCTATATACATGTATATATATATATATATATAGATATAGATATAGATATAGATGTACGCATATATATATATACTAATGAAACTAGTGTGTTGAAAAATGTGCAAATTAAAATTTAAATAGAAAAGCGGGAGGGGGGATTGGGGGGAGGGCTGAAGAGGGGCACTAGCGTCTAGGTTAGATCAGCTAGAGCGTCTTCCCAGGACAGCTTCACACCCTCTTATTCACACGGCCACTAGCCAGCCGGTGTGGTGTCCACAGGAGTACTCTATATCTTGACAGCGTATGTAAATGTGCTCAATACTCATGCTATATCCACATAGGGTCCAAGCCAAAACAAAAACACAGGCACAAATTCAAAGGCAATGGGTAAAGCACTACGCTTTGTCGTACCCAATTGAGAATAAGAGTTAGGGCCTGCACTATACTACACGTGGCTAATCAGCAAAATGAGCGGAAGTCACGCAGTGGTTTCTTTACAAAAATAGCGGATGATAGCAGATTGAAAAGGGGCCAATTGTCCTAAGGACATGTCGAAGTGAAAACAGCGGATTCGCTAATTATATTCCCGACAATGGTGCGCGAAGCACGGTCGTTCCAAGCAAAATGCTCTACCGGTGTGAAAAATCCGTCCTCCAAACGTTCAAATTTCAAGATTCAGACATTGAGGTCAGATGGGAAACCATTGACAGAATCACAAAATAAACGAATACAGCAGATCTCCAAAGTCGCTCATTCAAGCGGACGATGGACAAAATTCGGAGTTGGTAAATTTGATTCGCTCCATTTGGAGCTGTTCTGCTCGGCGGAAAGTGTGTGGAGACAAATTGTGATAGTATCTCTATCTACACGAGTATCTATCTACATTAAATTGAAGTTCAGACACAGTAGTGGCATTATCTCTATATAAAAGAGTATATGCCCTCTTGTGTAAACATGAAAACTCTGCTTTGGTATTACCTCTATTTAAAAGAGTGTCTACCTTTCTACTGATAATGGAAATACCTGGGCAACAAAATTTACAGGAAGTGCTACAATTAAACATATAGCATGTGGCAATGGTATTTATTTATTTTTTACAAATACCTAAAACAAATATTATTCGTCTGACAATATGAATAATTGATCGTCTGCAATTGATTTTGAACTAATATATTGAAACAGTATGAGAGATGAAAAAAATTATTATGCTTTAGGGAGATTTCATATAAATAAGTATGCAACAAGTTCAAATGGCGGTTTATGGGATGGTAATGTAATTATTTCCTGTGATGAAACATTATTATCCAGCCATACAAATTGGACAACAGTATTTGTTCCAAATTGCGATGGTTTAACAGCAATGGGCAGTTATCTTATCATAGATAAAATATTGTTATTTAATAATATACCAGTAGTACCCGCACGAGGCGGGGCGGAAGTTGCCTTAAAGATATATATAAGACCTTTCTCACCTATAGAACTTGCATGCGCCGTGCGCCAGCCAAGCCCGTGCGTGCGTGCATTCTGCGAAAGTGGTGTCCTCTTTCACATGTCACATTTGAAGCTCCACTTCGCACTTCACACTTCTCACTGCACTCTTCACAATCTTCACACTCCACACTTCACACTGCACGCTTCCCACTGCACAGTCCACACTTCACAGTCCACACTTCACACTTCACAGTCCACACTTCACACTTCACAGTCCACACTTCACACTTCACACTCCACACTTCACACTTCACACTCCACACTTCACACTTCACACTCCACACTTCACACTGCACTCTTCTTGCCCCACACTTCACACTGCACCCTTCATCTCATCTGAGCTCTTCTCACCTCATCCCAGCTCATCTCTTCTCATCCCATCTCTTCTCATATGTCATCTAAGCTTTCATGAATCACTTCCCAGTACTACTACTAAGGAACTTGCATGCGCCGTGCGCCAGCCAGGCCCGTGCGTGCGTGCTTTGTGCGAAGCTGTTGCAATGTTGTTGTCCAAGAACATGACCTGCGCGCGTCCCCGGTGCAATGCAACATCAAGCAAGCACTTTCCTCACACATCACATTGCACCCTTCACATTTCCCATCTGAGCTCTTTTCATTGCAGCCACTCCAATACGATTTACGAGATCTAGCTGCAAAAGACAATAGTATTACGCAGCACCAAGCAACCTTGACGCAGCCATTACAATGCGATTTGTAGAGAATGAGTTGCAAAACACAATAGAACTACACGCAACAGCGTCGGCAATAGCAGCTCCAAAACCGGATCTCGACGCCAAAGCAGAAAAAAGACGATTTGAAATGCCACTGTTTAAAGGACCCCCTCCTTATCTAGCATCCCAAAGGGAAAATTATATTCCTAGCTGCCTTTGCTCCAAAATTTCGAAAATCTGCTGACAAATCACTATCGCAGCCTGGATGCAGCCACTCCAATACGATTTACGAGATCTAGCTGCAAAAGACAATAGTATTGCGCAGCACCAAGCAACATTCATGCAGCCATTACAATGCGATCTGCAGAGACTGAGTTGCAAAACACAATAGAACTACACGCAACAGCGTCGGCAATAGCAGCTCCAAAACCGGATCTCGACGCCAAAGCAGAAAAAAGACGATTTTGAAGCACTTTTTTAAAGGATTTTAAAAAGGAAAATTAAAAGCGCCAAAATTTCGAAAATCTGCTGACAAATCACTATCGCAGCCTGGATGCAGCCACTCCAATACGATTTACGAGATCTAGCTGCAAAAGACAATAGTATTGCGCAGCACCAAGCAACCTTGACGCAGCCATTACAATGCGATCTGCAGAGACAGAGTTGCAAAACACAATAGAACTACACGCAACAGCGTCGGCAATAGCAGCTCCAAAACCGGATCTCGACGCCAAAGCAGAAAAAAGACGATTTTGAATCACTTTT